GAGGGTTGAAGAAGTGACTCTTGGAAGCCTAACAAACTAAAACTGCAGAAGATTAGAATTTATGAAAAATAAAATTAATGTTAATTGATAGGATGACTTTTCTTTTCCTTTTCTTTTGTATGATCTACTGGTGGTTTATTTATATTGTTAGTAGTTATATTTTCCTTATTTTCTATAAATACAGTACTTCACAATTGAATAAGATATATCTTCTACAGATATAATTTTCTCTTCATTTTCTTTACCCACTACACCCAATTTATATTTGTTTTTATACATAAAAACAATAAATAGAATAAGTTCGTACAATAAACTCAAAATTAAGTGCAGAGACATAACATTGACGTGTATTTATGGACCTTTAAACGTCCAAGTTGGGTGAAACTCCTAACAAAGAAGTTGTAGAACTATGTCTTAGATTTCTAGGGACACCAAGAATGTCCGATTCTGAGGTTAGGAGCTCCAGATATGGCCTATGCAAGACATCATGTCATAGTGGACAGAAATTACGAAAATTAACTAGAATTTAAAATTGAAATCAAAATAGTCCACAAAAACAAATGTCAACCAATTCATCAATTTAATACATTTTTAAATGTCACATAAATTCAATCTAATGTACTAAAATATGTATTAATTATGCACTATCAGTTACACAAACCCGATAAATACGAACTTCAATTAATTCAAACTTGTGTCTCATCTCATTACCAAATTTCACCATAAGACCATCCAATTAATAATATCAAAGGTTAAAAGCCTAAAAACACTATATTAAGCCCATAATTAATTAAATCCAACATTAATTTCACATTCCCACATGTTCATCTCAATTATCTCATATTAACTCAATACGTTCATACCCTAGGGCTCCCACCGGAACCCATGAGCAATCCAAGATCCACAAGATTAGTTTGATACTCAAAGTTAAACATATATAAATTAATAACATCAAATAGAATATCGAAGAATCATATGGAAGACAAAAGCACAACAAAAGCCACAAATTGTGATTTTTCCCTTTATATGACGCATACAACAGAAAAAAGATTAGAAGTCAATCTCACTACCAACAATTATCTCATGCCTAAAGCGAGAATACTCACTCTCCTTTACCTCGATGAACACTAGATGAAAGGTGCGAATCTCCCAAATGATCTTCAACGGTCTCTAGTTCTCCGAGTTTTTCAGAACTCGAAATGTAAAAATTGATGTAACTCTTTTAAAACCTTCCTAATCCACATTTAACCCTCTTGTAAAATAAAATAAACTACATTTACACTTTCCTTCATTCAAATATTAAAATAAAAATATAATTAATTAAAAACCATAATATATAATCAACTTACATTACAACAAATAAAATATATATAATTATCTCTAATAATTAATATAAGAAATGATTTCACAATTTTTTTAATTAATAAAAAACTCATAATTATTAAGTCTTTGAAATATTTTCTAAAACTCATTTAATTAATTAAAATGTCATTTTAATAATTTTAGAAAACTTGAGGTGTTACATGTTAGTTCTTTATTAATGAAAAATGAAGGATCCATCATAAGGTCCTATATATAGTTTATTTTCCCTTTCATTTCTACTCCCACCAAGGTTGACAAGCATAATCTTGATAAAACACGAACACAACTATTCTAAAGGTTAGTATAACGACCATGCTTGTAAATTTTAGACAAATATTGATAAGTAATCCGAGTCAATTGCAAAATAGATATTGTTGAGAATAGATAAACACTAAAAGGGGGTTAAATAGTGTATATCATAAACTCACACATTTTCTATAGTAAAATAGTAATGCTAGTCAGATGAAGCAAGAAGAATAGTCAGATAGAACATTAAGTATTTTTATACTGGGTCGCCTTAAACAATGAGACTACATCAAGTTCTCAATCCAACCACATTGAGTTCTACTATATTTAAACAAAGGTACAAGTATTCTTTAGTAAACCACTTTTTATTCAACCCTAAATATTATTTAACTTGCCTCTTCAAGCAACTACCCAAGTTTTTTTTAACAACAATTCTCTCCAGACTTATCAACCAAGTATTCTTTTACAATCAAGCTTTTTCAGCCTCAAGAACAAATATTCTTTTTCACACAAGCCTCTCCAAGCTCAAGAACAACTATTTCTTTTTAGACAAGTCTCTTCAGGCTCAACCTTATAACAATGGTTATAAAGGTCACAAAGAAGTTGTGTTTTTCTCATCAAGATGTTATGCAACCAATTATAGAGCAATGAACGTTTACAAAATAGAATTATTTTTAGAGAATATGTTTTTGTACAAATGTATCTATATTTGTTCATTCTCTCTTCTTTCTTGTGCTTTGAATCTTTTTATATAGTAGCTTGAAAAAGATGGTCGTTACAGCACTTTGAGTCCAGCTTACAAGTTTGTTTCGATTGTCTTCATCGTCTTTCCTTGTGGTGGCGGATAACCATATGACACATTCAATGCAAGCATTAAATGCATTTCACAAAACAATATTTCTTATCTAATCAAATAGGCTACTTATCAACTTTGCATATCAAACAGAGTTTGTAGAAACAATGTCAACACAGAACAACTATAATAGTGACTTTATTTGCTTTTCTCCGTGATTTCAAGGATTTGGTTCTAAGGAAAAGTAATGCCTTTTTACTTTAACAAATTTGGGAGTTTCAAGATGGTCTTTTGATTTAATCTATTAATGAGTGAAACATTCAAAGTGAACTTTATCGTTAGTATCAATAAATGATAAATATTTAATGTATATGAAACAAACTGTATGTTTTATCTAATTAACAATCATTTATAGATAATTTGCGTCTTACACTTCATCTGATAAGCTTTTCAAACTCATATTTAAAAGACGTTTTCGCAAACATTTTTTCTATATAAAAATGTTTTGTTTGTTAACATTAAAACTCCAAGTTGAGGGGATCATCATTTGACTTAACAGATATCATTAAATTTAATTCTTAATATGTATCGAATTTGATTTTGACCTAATGATAATCAAGGTTATTGACAACAAATAATAATTTATGGTGATGAGCTAAAAATCTTTTATAAATATATGGCGAACGACATAGCAGCATGTGGCAAACACCATAGCAGCTCAAGAACAACTATTTCTTTTTAGACAAGTCTCTTCAGGCTCAACCTTATAACAATGGTTATAAAGGTCACAAAGAAGTTGTGTTTTTCTCATCAAGATGTTATGCAACCAATTATAGAGCAATGAACGTTTACAAAATAGAATTATTTTTAGAGAATATGTTTTTGTACAAATGTATCTATATTTGTTCATTCTCTCTTCTTTCTTGTGCTTTGAATCTTTTTATATAGTAGCTTGAAAAAGATGGTCGTTACAGCACTTTGAGTCCAGCTTACAAGTTTGTTTCGATTGTCTTCATCGTCTTTCCTTGTGGTGGCGGATAACCATATGACACATTCAATGCAAGCATTAAATGCATTTCACAAAACAATATTTCTTATCTAATCAAATAGGCTACTTATCAACTTTGCATATCAAACAGAGTTTGTAGAAACAATGTCAACACAGAACAACTATAATAGTGACTTTATTTGCTTTTCTCCGTGATTTCAAGGATTTGGTTCTAAGGAAAAGTAATGCCTTTTTACTTTAACAAATTTGGGAGTTTCAAGATGGTCTTTTGATTTAATCTATTAATGAGTGAAACATTCAAAGTGAACTTTATCGTTAGTATCAATAAATGATAAATATTTAATGTATATGAAACAAACTGTATGTTTTATCTAATTAACAATCATTTATAGATAATTTGCGTCTTACACTTCATCTGATAAGCTTTTCAAACTCATATTTAAAAGACGTTTTCGCAAACATTTTTTCTATATAAAAATGTTTTGTTTGTTAACATTAAAACTCCAAGTTGAGGGGATCATCATTTGACTTAACAGATATCATTAAATTTAATTCTTAATATGTATCGAATTTGATTTTGACCTAATGATAATCAAGGTTATTGACAACAAATAATAATTTATGGTGATGAGCTAAAAATCTTTTATAAATATATGGCGAACGACATAGCAGCATGTGGCAAACACCATAGCAAATAAAATAATAATAATAATAATAATAATAATAATAATAATAATATATACAAAAACAAAACAAAAAAATAAAAAATATCTTACAAATAAAAATAAATTAAAACCAATAGAATATCAACTTAAATCATTAAATATGAAGAAAAAAAATCATAATTCATTAAAGCCTCCTCTTTTTTTCTTCAAAACACAACAAAAAAGTTGAAAGATAAGGAGACACATTTTCCTAATCTAATTTTAGTCATCTTCATAGCATCTTTCTCAATGTAATTTTCAATGTTAGAACAAAATAGGTACTCAATCTACACCCAACAAATTAAGGAGATGAAGATTGAATGAAGAAGAATAAAAGATGAACAACAAGAACTCAAATAGCGCAAAACAAATGAAAAATCATTAAGAAGATGAGGAAGAAATAGGGGGGAAAAAAAAGAATAAAAAAACAAAAAAAAAATTGGTTTGAACCTCTCTCCAAAGTTAGCTGGAATGGTTTGTCAAAGTGAAGGACTACTGTAGTTCAGGTCGCCAGAGTGAGTGACTGCTGCGGTTAAGGTCGCTGGAGTAGAACAAAGGTTCAAAGAACCTAGGATAGCAACAACTTTAGTTGAAAGCAATTCAGGACAATAGAGTTTGGGTTTTTCTTATAAGGGATTAGCTCGAGTTTTGACCCTAAAATGATTTTTTAAAAATATAATACATCATATCTGCCATAACCGCTGTAAACCTTTACGACGCCACAACTGTTGCGGGTGCCATGGAAAATATGGCAGCCCCCGCCATAAAACGCCAAATAATGGATGGTGAATGGCAGTTTGCTTGGAGACCGTTCCGATATTCCATTATAGCGGATTATAACGATTATTTAATAACATTGTTGATAACGAATTATATATCATCAGTATCAGTAAACCATGCAATGCTATTGCTACCCAATTGAGTTTGTTACTACAAGAGAAGCCTTAACATAATAATGTTACAGTTGTGTACAAATAGCTTAAAGTGTTTTACATCTGTCACGTGCTAAATATATAAAATGTTACATTCAGCAGCACAAACGTGCAAAAATAGTTGTGTATAGTAAAATATGTTCCCATGTTTTCCAAAAGCACCACAAAGAGAAACCAGTGAATGATCATAGTCACACATTGTATCTCCAAGTATGATCTCCATAACTAGCGAAAGTGATGAAAATAGGTGTGGCCATCCAGGATCACGCTTGTTCCAATCTCCCAACATGCATACATACAAGATCTCCAAACTCTAAAACTACCTTTCATATTCTTGCAAGCCCAAGAAACTATAGCTCTGAAACCTATCTTTGGGATGACTGAATGTAGTTTGCTTTGTGGGAAGTAGCTTATTTCCAGATTCATCAGAACAAGTCTCGAGACCGCAATAATTGCACAATGATTCCAAATCCGGTTCCTGTCATACAGAATTCAAAATAGAGTATAGTCTGAATGTGTAAAGATCAACAGATACTGACTATTTTTTTATATAAATATTATGCATGCACAATATCATTATAGAACTGTGACATCCCAATAACGTTGACAACATCTTGAATCAATACATTAAGGAACAACTTCTGAAAAGTTTGTTAGATTGATAAACCTCCAGATGAAGATAAAGCACACAAGATTTTGTATGAATTGAAAATTTGATGTACATCTTATGCCCATAAGAATAGCCCATACCGAAAGACTAGCCTACTAAGAAGGAGAACCCCGTTACTTAAGTACCACGCTGAATTTTCATAATTGCTCAATGTGGAGCAAAAGATCATATCATAATCATATGCCTCCTCTATTAGGAACTCTGGAAGGAAATGGAGAAAAGACAAAGATGATTTTAATGATTGACTAAAATCAGTGTTATCAATATAAGATAGTGGAAAATGGTGGAAAGCCAAAAATATGCTATATCTGTATATCATATTGCGGATAGCGTATCGAGCAAACAGCAGAAGCTGCATAACAGTTAAAATATATTATATACATCAATTATATTTGTATAAAAACGCAAGTTGTTTGCAAATAAAAATAAAATGCATAAAAATTGACATGATATTAACTCAAAATTCAATTAGTTGGAGACTTAGCAAGATGACTAGAGGATGCAGGATACATGCAGCAAACATGACACCATAGAAGCCACTATAGCGGATGGAGTCATGATTGTGGATTAAAGGAAATCCGCAATTCTATAGCATTATAGCGCATTAGACTGATATAACGGCTATTTAACAACACTGACTAAAATAGAACAGAACAAAGAGAAATTATCCTTCAAGGGATTCACTTTTACGATTTAGCACATGCTTCGGTTCACACAAAATATAACTTCCTATATACCTCCTTTCTACCCTTATCTATTTTATATAGTCTCCGAAAATTAATGGATTAACTGTTTGTAATTACTACTTCGTCTCCCCTTTAATTTTCCAGAAAAATACCATTTTAATCTTGTCCTAAAAATATCAGCCTCTTGAAGTCCTAAGGTTCATAGTGGCTATATAATGGTTGATAGTGTTCTCACATCATTGCTTCCAAAACCTGATCATACAATGCACCTTTCATTCAATTGCCCATCTTCTGCCAAAATTGTAAGGTACGTGATCTTTCCCACGCATCTGCGCATTCAACTAAACTGCACAGCAAACTGGAAGTTGTCAAGCTCCTTTGTTTTTAAATGGGTTCGTGTTGTTGGCACTAGATCAAAATATGCCAGAGCTCTATTCTCGCCCTTCCACACCCTTGTTTAGATAGGCATTCTTGACTAAGCATGATGATGTTAACTCAAATGTAGTTTGGAGAGCCTAAGGACCTATAAACCCCTCACTAGATTCCCATACTTCCAATATGGGACTCAAGTCCCAATCCTACAATTAAATATAAACATGACACCCCACCAAACTCTGCAGCCCCAGCAACCTGGTGGGCTAGTTTTGCACCTAGCCCCTTGGTTAGTCGCATATGAATACTGCAATGCTGATGTCACCACTCGTCCGGCTGGTGTGCAACTGAGGGACATGGTGGAAAGCTCAAATACCAGTTGATACAAAAGTAACCAGAATCCAAAGGAATAAAACAAGAGAATGGAAGAAAGTGCAAGAAAATATGCCCGGGACTTTATTTTTCTTGATGTACACCTTGGATCATTCATGGTATATAAATAAACTTTGTCATAATGACTTCTAAGAGAAGAGTAAGAAGAAAAAGTAAAATAAGTTTCTCCATAACTAAAATTAATTTATATATAAGTTAAAAAAACATATTTTGGAGAAACTAATATAAGATAACTTCCACATATTAGCATATGCATAAACTTATTTTATCTTTTGGAAAAGCTTATTTCATTTTTTCTTCTTGTTTTCTTCTTCTAAAAGTATTTTTGGAAAAGCTTATTCAAACATACCCTAACTCTATTATTCTCATTTTTTCTTTATTTAGAGCATCTCCAATGGTGGTTCTTATAAATAATTTATTAAGGTTCTTATTTTACTTTAAATGAGATCTATCATACCACATCATTCTTAAGTAACTCACTGCATTTTTGCAAATTTTGCTCCAATGGAGAGATTTTATAAGCAATCCACACTTTTATAATTTTTTATTTACAATTCCTTTTTGAAAACTTAAAAATCTAGTGTAATTATTAAAATTAATATTTAATTAAACATAATAAATGATATTTTAACTTATAAAAAAATTAATAATAAAATTTATACAATTAATTTAATGTATATAAAAATATTAAATATTAAAAGCAAAAAAGTTATAAAACCATGAGAAATATATCGCAATGATACGTGACTAGCTTTTGATTATGAAGGATTGATGATGCATGGCGGTCTTTTTGATTTATGAGAGTGGTTTGTGTTCTCTATTGTTCGTTTGAAGAATCAAGACTAAAAAATATTATTTTTCTAATTCATAACCAACGGTAATTATTTAAGAGTCTAGTAAGATACATGACAAGCACTCTCTATTAGAGATGCTCTTATAGTCGTGTGTTTACAATTATTCCCAGCATGGCCCCTATCATTCTCACATAGACCTTAATATGTAGTCCACTATCTATCATAGTCAGACAAAAGTGTTAGGAACCCCTCATAGAACTAGAGAAAAGAAAACACTTGATTGACTGAAATTGAACAAAATGAGAGAAACCCTCCTCCAAGATTTTTCCCTTCACCAAGGGTTTCCAGTTTTGCAGCTTAGCACTGAGTTCACACAAAATACAATTTATTGAATCCTTCATTCTACCCTTATTCCCACTATTTGTCTAAGTGGCTGCCTTAACTGTTCTAACTTCTAACTAGTAACTACAGTGATTCCCCCTTATAAAAGTACAATATTGAAGCTACATGATTGCTCAATGTGGGACATAACTTCAAATACAAACTTTAACTCATACCTTTATCATGAGGTGTTTTGAAAGGTCCAACAGCGGATATGGATGAAGTTTGTATCCACCAAAATTTATGCAAGATAAAGCCATCGCACGAACCTTATAGCAACAAAAAAATATATGCAAGAAAAACTTGATCAAGAATGTCGAAAAAGATTCTATGAAGATCATTGACATGCTTTTAAATAGAAGAATCAAGAAAAGTAAATATAGATGCTACATTGCCCATGCCAAGTTGATAAACCTCAGTAAACATGAATACAGCTCTATAAACAATTCAACAATGAGACAATTCTTCTTAATGTACTTATAGAATTTTTCATTTTCTTTTTCTTCCTGTATCATATAGACACCCCAAAATTTTGCATTAGCTGTTGACTGCCTAACTCAACCCTCCTCTTATATCCAGGTTTGGAACTGTTGACATAGATTAAGATTACAGTGCCAAGAATTCTAGGTTCATTAACATTTTAGTAGAGTTATGATATCAGTTCAGTACTTTGATACTGAACCATTAACCAAAATCATGATTTTTCTTTCACTAATCTCAGTTTTAAAAGAAGCTAGTTATGTTAAAAAGAAAAGTTTAAGAGAAACTATTGAAAAGATCTACTCAAATGATTTAATGATTTATTGAAAATTTGGCTTCAGATAGAGCCCAATGTCATCAATAGATCTATGTAGCTCAATTCACAATGTTGGATAAACTATAAATAATAAATTAAAGTGGAAATTTGTAGGAAAGTGGTGCAAGGTATTTATTTCTTAAATGTATTTCCTGTGATCAAGACCCTCGAACACTAACCCCTTGATCCTAAACTTCCATGTGGGTGTACATATGCACAAAGAATATTCATACAACACAAAGGCTAAAGGCTGATGCAATTTTGCAAGTGGAGTGCACAAATGTGATTTGGAATTTGTGATGCTGAGATTTGTCAGAGAAGTTAGCTTCAACAAGTGTTAAGTTGTAGGAATCTTTATCTGATTTATTTTGAATATAGGAGAGATAAGATGAACCAGGGGAGTAAAATTTTGGTAAAACAGTGATGATCCCTATATAATGTTATGCGTTTTTCTCCTGTATTTCATTTATTCTGTAGACCTATAATATTTTAGCAATCATTACCTAGCCTATTAAGGTTATTCTTAAGAATAGCTATTACAATGACAAGATGCTTCATGTTAAGATACATACGAAGAAAGTAACAAGCACAAAACAAGTAGGCATGCTTCAACTTAGACATAAAAAAGAATGTCCAAATTAACTACAGATTGTTAGGAAACTAATGCAACTCTAGTTACAGTAATTACTTCATTGATATAGGGCATCATAATGCAGAACTGAAGATATGATGTCTGGGCTGCTGCAGTACAGAAGAAATCCTTATAATTACCAAGTCGGAAAGATCTATCAAGAGAAAAGAGAATATCAATAATTGACATGCATTCACGTTCACAGTTATTATTTAATGAGAAATTTACAAAGGAGAAAACCAACATAGAAAAAACATTTAATTATTAAAATCAAGATTGTCAATGATGTTAGAGATGTAATATAGAAGCATTCATGCGCTTTCATCTATGATTAAGTAGTCTAGAATTTGATCCTTACTACTCCCATTCTTTTAATAAAAAGTTGAATTTAAGCACATGATTGGTGGTCTTGTGCCTTGTCTATGTTTTAAACCCAAAGGGTTCTTGTGTAAGATGGCATGTGAGAGATGTAATATAAAATTATTCGTCTAACAACTTACGCTTTTGTAATAATTGGTTCATTATATACAATTATGATATATCTTACCGTAAAATTCTCCTAGCAAAACACATTTCTTTTGACTTCAATACTGGAGTTGATAAACGTCTAAACCACAAAGAAAGTGGTTCCCCCTGCAGGATAAAAGTAGCTAAATTTCATAACTAAATCTGCAGCAAGGTTAAAATTAACAATGAAAAGAGAAACATAATTAATCACACCAATGTAGAGATTAACCATCGGTTGGCTGGAAGAACCAAGATGAAGCAGCACATATAATGAATGGAACTCTGCTTCATTTTCTAGCATATCATTTGAATTTCGATTTACTTCATACAAATTGAGCAAAGATGTCAATGTCTTGGTGAGCTGTTCCAAGTTGAGATGATGCATTGACGCAGTGTTTGGATCAGGCACAGAACACCAAAGCTTGTAATGTGATACAACATGGAATTTGACCTGTATGATCAAACATACTGTTCAGCTCATTATTTGAATTCCATAGCTTGTAAATCCATGCTTCAAAAAAAAAAAATGCAATGCTGTATGATCACACAATCCAGCTTGGCTGTGTATAGAAAAAGCATATCACTACTTCCTTTTGCAAGTGCCCTACTTTTATAACTCTATGGCTTGCTCATGACCATGTGTTCACAAAGGCATAGTTATCAAAGTCGCATGAACAGAACAATTCAAATCACAATTCGACATGATTGACGACTGATGCAGATCATGAGATGAATCAAATATAACTGAGAATCACATCAGGAATCAATTCAATTGCTTCTGAATCACAACTCTATGTGGAATCATGTGCTTTGCACACGTCTAGGTCTCACACCAAGACAGGTAGGTTTGTGTGTGGCCTGAAACATGATTTTTAGAGAAGATTATATTTCCCTCCTATGATTCCACCTCAAGAGTATTAAAGGCATAGAGTTGGTCCCCGTGTCTGGATCATTATATTTTCCCGTGTTCTCACTCCCCCATACCCATAGTGATTTTGGTGTTGTATTTCCTTCCACAGTGCTGCTTGTGGGTCCCCCCGTTGCCCCTTTCAATGGTGTACAGTAGGTCAAAGAAAAAGGACATTGATGTCATGTGGAACTACGGTGGAAGTCAATGTTTTTTGAGGGTTGAACCACTTAAACTTGTGCAGCCTTTTTTATTTTGTCAATTTGAATTGATACCCAGTCAAGTTCATAAGGAGCAGTAGATGCAATTAGTCCCCAAGTTTCAAGTCTAGGACCAGTATTTGGATTTAAGAATATGCATTGAACATTAATTTGTTTATAGATAAACATCTAATGATTTAAACACAATTTGTGCATCTGAGATAAATGGACCTTCGAAGTTGGATAAACCTGAAGTTGCAAGAAATGCAAATTAAATCATCTATGCTAATGCAGTTATAAGAGAAAAGAATAAAGCACACAAATCAAAGATAGTTGAGACAGAAAACTATACCATTGCCTCATACATATAAATTGCTTTTTTGTTTACAATATTTTGCATAGTAAGATCTTGGCGTATGGACCTTGTCCTATCGAAGACAAAGTCATGAACTACTTCAAATGAATGCTCTTTAGATTCCAGCAAGCTCAAAAGATAATTTAAAGTATCTTCCAAAACAATAATAGGCCGCATATCAGATGCTTGAACATATTTAGTGGATATAGTTCTGCAAAACTGACGAAATAAAATGGAAGATCAGAAACTAAAAGATATTTAATAATAGAGAAGGTGAATCAGAAGAAAAGCCGCTTGTAGGCCATAAAACCATGCATCAATGCTGAATAGGATCTTAAAGACGAGACAAAAAAAAAAGTAACATGCTTCATTAAATTTATATGATAATGCATCATGATAAATATCTTTCAAACATATACTTTATATCACAAAGCATCTTGCTAACATTAATTAGGCATTAAGAAAGTTAATAAAGAATAGACAAGGGACACTGAAACACTAGCCACTAATTTAGTGCTATATAACAAACTATAATTAAACTTACAAAGAAACACACTACGGTTTCATTATACAACTTATGAACTTTATAAAATTATGATAACTGAATTAATCAAACTTTAATCATGTAATGACCCTCAAGTCACAATTTTGTATGGGAATCGTCGAATTCAGATACAAATGATAACATTGCTATCATCAATTAATTCACGCAATAAAAGTTTTACATTACCCTTAAATGCACTGCTGATTGTCAAAAGTAGATGTGAAGTAAATTCAGCATGGTGCTTGAGAGTACATCCTTCTTTAAACTAGACACGAGCACACTTAATAAGGAAATACAAGATAATATATAGGAGGGCAGTTTGGCCATACCTTCTTGACAGCAAGAGCCGGGGATGATTTTCCAGGATTTCCATTTAGCCTCTCAAAAACTGCTAAATCTCGCAGTTTTTCGCGTTGGATCCTCTCTCTTTCTGTGGATAAACCAATAAAGTGAAAACTTTGAAAATATTAGTTTCCAGTAGAAATATTATATATGAAGAAATTTAATAACAATGGATGGTATCTTCATATTTTATATAGAGAAAAGTTTATGCTTCCATGAATCAACAAAGCTAAAATGGACAATAAAATCCTTGTTCTATTCTAAGTGCAGTTAGCTTCATAGACCAAAAGAGAAATGACACCATTGTGCTTTGTCAAAAGCCAAGTCATTGCAGAGGCCATTGAAATTTAAGTTCTTTTAAATGATTTCTCTCGAGTTTTTCTTGGTTTTTCTCCACCTCTAACTCTTGGGTTATCCTCCATGGCTCCATCAAACTAAATCTTCTTACAAATGCTTCTATTGGCTTTCTTCCATAAGACCAAACCATCTAAGCTGCAATTCTACCGTGTTTTCCTCAATAGATGACTACTTGCTACCATTACTTCCTCTCTAATACCTTCATTCGTAATCTCACCTATTCTTTTATGTCTACCTATATCCATTGCAACATTCTCATCTGTGGTACTCAATTTATGCAATTATAGGCACCCATTGCGCACAGACAACACCATTACTCCTCAATGAACAGCAACAATTGCAACCTCAATATTATAGATTTGGAGATTTTCGCATCAGCAATTGCTACTGCATCAGTCACATTCACTTGGAATTTTCAGCAACTTCAGTTATCACAACCAGGACCTTGTGAATAAGTTTCTATAAACTGCATCACCTCACTAATACAATATAAATTTTAAAGCAATACAACCACAATAATGATCAAATAAAACAGCATTATCCCATCAGCACGCTAGAGCAGTTCCTTTACAATGCTAGTAACCTCAATGTCCATCAGAAAGGCTTTAGCACCCAAAAGGAAACCATGTAATGATATTCTCTTCTTTGGCCTCGAAATTCAATCGACAATAGCTGCTAAAAAATTATTATATTAACAGAAATCCCGCTCTCTATCTCTTCTTTGGTTCCCAATGTGTATTCTCCTTTGGAAACAATTCTGTTTGAAACACGATCAAACACTAAACATAAACACCTCTCTCATCAATGATTTGGTGTTTATTTGGGTATAATCAAGAAACAATTTTGACATCTTTTCTAGTAAAAATAAATATTTAATAAGCATTTAGAGATGTTTGTTTAAACTTAAAAATAAGTGTTCCTATATAAACGCTTTAAAAAAAAAAATCTATAAAATGCAGATAAGAGTTATTTCTTAAATACAAAAACAAAAAATTGTTTATTTAAAAAAAAAACAGACAAACACATTAAAAAATAATTAAAAAAAAGTATTTATTTTATTAAAAAGCACTTTTAGAAAAAGAAAAAAAAAAGTTTAAACTATTTTTCCGTAGAAAACCTCTCAAAATCCATTCTAACTCTTGATTTGCCACTTAGTAGGAAACTAATCTATTCTGCAAGACCTAAGTCACACCGTTGGTAGCAACCTCGCTCTCTTATTATTTATCAATCCCACCAAAAGGACACGTTATCATGCTCTGCTACTGCTAGCATGAAATTGATTTGAGTTTCGCAAATTAGATAATAGTATTATGATATGTCATTTACCTGGGCACATGTAAGGACATGTTCCAACAAAATTGGAAGAAAGTTGTGCATCCTCTGCCGTGTTACTGACATCAGAGGTAGAAGCAGTGCTGCCACTGCGAGAAGAAGGGCTGACCCTTTCACCCACACTTGAAACATTCGATTCATTCGAAGCAAATCTCTGACCGCCACGACGTCGTGATTGCCAGAAAGAGGAGCCACGGTTTCGATTCCCACGATGCATCATCACTCTTCCCTCTTCACCGCTTCCACTCTCGTTTTCATTATTTTCTTTTTCACTTTCTAATATTTTTTCTTTTCTTTTTCTGGTCATATTAGTGATAAAATAATACTTTCGGTTACAATTTATGTTTAAAGTCAAAAAAATTCCTAATCTTTAATTAAAAAATATAAATGTTGAACTATTTGTACCGACTTACTCAAATTTATTTAAATATTACATGATAAAATTTAGTTTTTATTTTATTTTTATGAAAACAATTTTTATGTCATAAAAAACATGAAATATTTTTTATTGGGCTAAATTGTAATTTTGGTATCCAATTTCATAACTTCAATCTTCAAAATTTTATAAAATTTTGCTATTTTAATTATGGGTTAAATTGTAATTTTAATCTTTTTATAATATATGATCCATAATTTTAATCTCAAATTTTAAATCTACTTTTATTTTTATAAAATTTATAATTTTAATCCTCTTATCAATTATTCATATGTCAATTGTTTAAATTATAATAGTTGTGATTTAATATTAAGTAAATGACATAATAATTAATATTTAATAATATTTGAGTTATATTTTATATTTAGTTCACTTTTTTATCTCATAAAAGTTGTTAAATAGGATGAAAATAAAATAGAGTAAAACTTAAAAGTGTAATTTTTCTCAAATATATTATTAAATATCAATTATTATGTCATTTAGTTTTTGTTAGATTATGATGAATGTTACAATTTTAACGATCAAACAAATGAATATTCAATAAAGTGACTAAAATTATGAACATTACAAAATTTGAGAACTAAAATAACAAATTTAAAAATTGGAAAACTAAAATTGTGAATTAAACATTATATAGGAACTAAAAGTGCAATTTAGTCTTAATTCTTTCACTAAATATTTATTCATTGATCTTTAAATTTATAACACTAATCATAATTTACCATGTATTTTAAATATGAATGGTTATCAACATGTTTAGTTTTCTATTTAAAAGCTTTAGAATGGGAGATTGTACTTTCAAATGCATAAAATGTAAAAGCAACAAGCCAGTTGCTTTGAATTAAATAACTCTCGAGTTAAATGTAACTTTTTTTCAAACACGATATATTACACGAGAGTATTATAGGAGTTTTTTTTATGAGAGTGTTCTCTTCTTAAAATTTAGTTAAGATCATTAAATTTGTTAATAATGTAAATTACTTTTTCAAAATTATCTTTAACATTTCTTAAATTAACCTTCTCTTTTTTCACTTAAACATTTCCCACCTAGTTAAGTCAAAATATGATCTTGGATCCCTCAAACTTTTAAGTTTTAATATTAACAAATAGAACATTTTTCTAAGAGAAAATGTTTTTGCAAAATACAAATCAAACAAAGCATAAAAATACAAGTCATTAGATAAATGATGTGTCATCAAATGAAGCATACAGTCTGACTTCATATTAAGTCTTAAATGCATATCATTTATAATGACTAACGACTACTTGTTACATGTCTAAGTGATTCCTTAACAGATCATACTAGGAAGGCTTTTTGGAACTCACAAATATGTTAAAGTGAATGAAGTCACGCTTTGCATCAGAACCAAGGACAAACGAATCCCTGAAATCATGGAGAAAGTCAACAAAAGTCGATGTAAAACCTGTTCCTCACTAACACACACTATAGATATAGTCCATTTTGTATTCTAAAGTTGATAAATAAACTCATTGATCAGATAAGATGTGACAATTTGATGAAACTCATTTAATGCATCAATGAACACTTCTCACCTCAAAGAACCTGTAATGAAGATAAATGAAGCAAGCTTGTGAGGAACCTTCAAGATTTTGCAATGATCATCTTCATCCAGGCTATTATATAAGAAGCTTCATGATCAGGAAAAAAAAACTTTTGTACAAATTATTCATGCATTCTTTCTTTGAAGACTTGTGTTCTTAATTAATTGTATAATGTCTTATTTGTAAGACAAAACAACATCTATAAAATTTTACCCAGATATAATTGTTGTTATAGGGTTGAGCCTAGAAAGACTTATCTGTAAAAGAATACTTGTTTCAACCTAGAAAGGCTTATTTGTAAAAGAATACTTGTTTGAGCCTAGAGAGTCTTGTCTGCAAAAGAATACTCATTTGAGGCTAGATAGGCTTGTCTACAAAAGAATACTTATTTGAGCCTAGAAAGGCTTATTTGAAAAAGAATATTTGTTTGAGCCTAGAGAGGTTTGACTATAAAAGAATACTTAGTGTTGAAGCCTAGAGAGACTTTGTGTGAAAAGAATACTTAGATAGATTATTTAAAGAGGTAATTCAAATAACACTTAGGTTTGAGCCAAAAGTAACTAGTTGAAAGAATACTTGTATCTTATTTAAGATAGTTGAAATTAATCTAGTTGGATTGAAAATTAGACTTAGTCTCAATGGTTGAGAAAAACTAATATAAAAATACCATGTGTTTCATCTGTCTTTTCTCCAACACTCTTTATTGTTAATGTTACTACTTCACTACTTGAAAAAGTTTAATTTTTTTAATTTACATTATTCAACCCTCTTCTAGTGTTTATCTTTTCCCCACAATTTAGTATCAAAGCTCATCCTTTGATGGCATTGAGCATTTAATCGTGAAAAAAGGAATAAATAGTGAAGGTCAATGCCTACCAGAAAGAGCATCTCTCATAAGACCTGTAGCCTTTAATGGAATAGACAACATGTATTAGAAAGATAAAATACAGATGTTTATTAAATCCACCCAATACCACCTCTAGAAGATCGTCACTCAAGATGATGTAGCAATTACCAAGGCTAAGAACTAATACACTTAGGATGACTATAACATTCTACAACTCAGCACAAAAACCAAATACATTTTGGGGCAAAAATATACTTTTCGTCCCTTATATTATTTATTAGTGTCAATTTAGTCCCACTTTAATTAATTGAATCAATTTAGTCCCATATCTTTAAAATGTATCTTAATGTTTGACCTTTCGTTTTCTCCGTTTAAATACTTAACAAATCTGACACGTGTCATGCCACATGTCATGTTGTCATGACACGTGTCATGCTACTATGCCACATGTCATGTCTTCATGCCACGTGTCATGTCATCATGCCACATGTCATGCATCATGCCACGTGGCATGATAACATGACACGTGACATGACACGTGTCACATCCGTTAAATATTTAAACGGAGGAAACGGAAGGTCAAACATTGAGATACATTTTAAAGTTATGGAACTAAATTGATTCAATTAATTAAAATGGGACTAAATTGATACTAATAAATAATATAAGGGACGAAAAATGTATTTTTACCTACATTTTGGTGTGTTCTTTGTCTAAAATGGAATAAAACAAGTTCTATAGCTACTCAACGGCTAAAAAAATGTGGAAAGCCATCAAGATAACTCATGAGGGTCCTCAGGGTGTCAGACTTGAACAAGCTATCACTCTTCAGAGACACTATGAGTTGTTATCAATGAAAGAGAATGAGACCATTAACGAAATATTTGGAAGATTCCAAACAATTTTAAATGGTTTAAAATCCCTGGGAATTGATTTTTCAAAAGTTCAAAATAATCTCAAGATCTTGGGTAGTCTTCCAAAGGTCTAAGTGTTGAGATTCATGGAGTAGTGAATCAACTAAGACTTGGAGTATGAGAGTTTTGATGATAACAAAGGAGTTGAAGCTGACCAAGGAAACAAACCAGTCAAGAAAGGAAGATATGAATATCATGATGTGTAATAGGAATAACTTATAAGTTCTTATGAGTTGTATTGTTTTGATTAACTTGTTTTGCATGTGTATGCTTTGTGCATGAGTAAATTTTAATCTAATTTGACTAAGAGTGAGTATGATGATGATTTAAAATAATTGGAAAGATTTTTTGAAGTATAAAATTGAGTTTTTGAAAACTAACTCAAAATAATCGATTATCATTAAATGTAATCGATTATTCCAGCAACAGGTGAAAAAAGCCTTGTTGTAATAATCAATTATCTATGAAATAATCGATTATTCCAGGAAGCACTCTCTGGAATAATTGATTATCCTGCAAAATAATTGATTATTCTGTTCTTGAGTGGTTTCCAGAAATCATGAAGAACAAAATAATCGATTATCCTTTAAAATAATCGATTATCTGGTTCTGAAAATTTTATAAATAGCTTTCACACTTTGAAACTTTAGAACAGAGGATGAGTTGAGAATTAACAAGAGAAAAACTATATTGTGAAGTCTTTGTGACCTTCTTGGAGTGTTTTCTTTGTGAAACCAAGAAGTAAAACATTTTGAAATGCTTTGACAGAGATCATTATCATCACTACATTCTTGGGAGAGAAAGATTAAGATTTGCTTTTGGAATTCACAGTCTGATTTGTTCAGCTTCCAAGTGAATTCGTTCCTTTAATTCTTTGGGTAAAGTGTAAGGGAAATCTTGAGTAGGAGTCTCAAGTGGTAAGGAATTCTTGTAGTGGGTTTCTACAAGAAGTGCTTTCTTGGGGGCAAGAAAGTGATTATCTTGAATGTAGGAGTATATGCATGTGTGGTATGCTTGTAAAACTTCTTCATTAAGATAGTGGAACAAATCTTGATCAGGTTATGATTGAGGACTGGATGTAGGTCACATGTGGAGTGCCTGAACCAGGTTAAAATACTTGTGGATTCTTCTCTCTCACTCTTATCTTTTACATGTTGAGATTCATGGAGTGGTGAATCAACTCAAACTTGAAGTATGAAAGTTTTGATGATAACAAAAGGGTGGATTCTGAGAATCAAAGTTGACCAAGGACATCAACAAGTCAAAAACAAAGTCAAGAAGAAAATGTGACTATTATGATGTGTAATAGGGATAACTCATAAGTTGTGTTGATTTGTTTAGCTTATTTTGCATGGGTGTGTTTTGTGCATGAGTTAATCTTAATCTAATTTGAATGAGAGTGAGTATGATGATGATTTAAATACTTGGAAAGTTATTTTGAGATATAAAACTGAGTTTTTGAAAACTAACTCAAAATAATCGATTATCATTAAATATAATCGATTATTCCAGCAACAAGTGAAAGGAAGCCTTGTT